ATAGAGCAGGGAGCAGAGCAAAGCAATGTCTGAGCTCTCATGCAACTAATTTCCAGTGGGCAGGAACAGCAGATACATGCATGTAATATAGAGTTGGGTGGCGATATGTGCTATGAAGACAATAAAACAGGAAAGGGGGTGCGGGGGTAGGCGGCGCTACTTTAGATAGAATGATCAGGGTGGGTGTCCTTAAACAAGGACTATGGAGAGAGAAGTGGGGGCAGGGAGAAACATGTGACTATCAAGGGGAGAAAGTCCCAGGCAGAGGGAACAGAAAGTGCAAAGGCCCTGAGGCAGAAGTATTTTCTTGGCCCATTCAAAGAATAGCACGGATGGTTTGGATGATCCAGGATCACGGTTTTCCCAGACCAGCTCCTCACCCCAGGAGGCAGAGGGGGGCATGCAATCATGTTTCTCCAATCCCTTCCTTCACACTCTTCTGTGTCCAGTGCCCATCTGGTGGCCGCTGTCCCCACCATGCTTCCAAGGACTTCAGATGATCAGCTGTGAAGCTGGGGTAGTGAAGGGGACTAAGTGCCACTTAGCGTCCTCTGGGGTCTCCTGGGGATGGATGACGAGGGTGGGGTCAGTGTTCTGACCTTCCACATCCCCCCATCTGGCTGTGCCACCCCAGCCTGGATAGTGAGCACTTACAGCTCACTGACCACAGCTGCCCTTCTCCAAGCCCGGAGGGACAAGCTCGGTGGTTCCTCCCCATCTCAGCACCACCACATGTAGCCGTGCCCCTACCCCAGGATGCTCCACGCTCACAGAGCACGTCCTGCCCCTTGGTCTAGCTGTTCTCAATGTCCCTGTTAGGTGGGTGGGGCTGCTGTCACCCCTGCAATTTTATAGGTGGAAACTGAGGTTTCCAAAATGAGAAGCAACTTGCCCAGTGAATCTGTAGCAGGAGAGGCCTCAAACTTGAATCCTGAAGCCTCTGTCTGTTGCCTGCTTCCCGCTGCTTCCACAGAAGTTGTGGCTGCTGTGGCTGCTGTACCCTGGCTCAGACCCTTACCCTGGATTCCTGAATGCACCTTTGGGG